CTAATAGCAAAAAGCCGTCGATTCGACCCACACTTACGCTCTGATTGTTAATAAGACCTTCAATTCCCATATTAGGAGTTTAGAGTCGACTGAATGTCACTGAAAATTGTTTATAAGAATAGTCTGCCAACAAAAATCACTTTAATTTTCTTAGTGACCAAACTCTACACAATATTTGTTAAACAATTGTAAAATTGGGTAAAAATGTCTTCAAAATTGGATGAAATGCGAAATCAATTCAGAGAGAGACTTACTTTAGCTCCTGATGAATCGAAAATACATTACATAAAAGTGGAAAATCAAAGTTTTGATAACAACAGTGACAATATTTATACTCCAAGAGTTTTTTCCAAATTGTCAAATCTCTCAAAAATATCAAATATTGGATACAATCCCGCAAAAGATGACAAAAAGCCATTTTCTAGCACTTCTAGAGTAAGTGATGACAAAAGTGATTTCGGATCAATTCCAAGACAAACTACTGTTTCAAAAGAACATTTTGTTAAAAATCCCGTCAATAAAGAGTCGAAACGACTTTCCGATTGTAATAATAATAATAATCAAAAAATGTCATCAAAATTAAACAAAACTATTGACAAAAATGACAACAAAGATATGAAACTAAAAAGTGAAGGATTTCCGCGATTAACTAGACGTCCGATCAGTTCTCCGAAAGACAGTCCCAGAAGTGCCTCTAAATTGGGAGCGGAAGGAACTCCATGTCGTTTCTGTAACCGATATTTTGCATTAACCGAACGCTTAGAGAAACACGAATCGGTTTGTAAAGCAGTGGCCAATGAATCCCGCGATAGGTTTGATTCAACAAAACAAAGATTTAAAGGAAAACCAACAGAATATTTGAAGTTTTATGAAAATGGTTTAACGGTATGTTTAGCACTAATTAATACTTTGGTTATAATGTCACACATTTTATATGCAAATTATATTTGTATAGAATAAACGAGAAGAACAGCCAAAGTTGTGGAATTGGAGACAAAAGCATGAATATTGTATGGCAGCCATACGAGAGGCTAAAGGACAGACAGATACCGGTCCGACCACTCGCCAGATAACAGCGTCCACTCAACAACAGTGCCATTACTGTAAGCGCCGATTCAACGACGATGCCATCACTAGACATCTTCCCATTTGCGCCAAACTGTATCACAAAAAATGCCTTAACTATTGATATCTCACTCTATTCAGTGATATAATCACATGGAATGTAATCTTGGTTTTATCTAAATTTACAGTATATCATATGATTTTCTAATTATTGTTTTGTATAACTTTGTTAATACTGTAGTATAAAATATAAATGAATATATGATTTAATAATGTCATAAGTTATGAGAACACTTGCAAATTGTTGTTTCAACTAATTTTACATTGTTTATTAAAAATAGTAGTTATGACTCATAACTACTATTTTTAATAAACAATGTAAAATTAGTTGAAACAACAATTTGCAAGTGTTCTCATAATAAATTATAGTATAACTTATGAATCCTTTCTTGAAATTTTACTAATTCTTTAAGAATTAAACACTAAACTTACATCGATGTCAGTAACTCATTCTGTCAATATCTCATTCCCTCGGTATTATTGGATGATATTGTGGGTGTGTACCAATGCTTTTTGTATGGGTTCAGTCAATGAGGGGGCAGAATGGGGAGCAGGGAATGAGATAATGACAGAATGAGATATTGACATCGATGTTATATTCACTTCACATTTTGATGACTTATTTATGAAACTTATAAACGGGTTAACATTAATTTATTATCATTATAGTAATACTTGATGACATTCTTCACGTATGCGGCATACGGTATGCCCTCTCTCTCTCTCGCTCTCTCTCTCTCTCTCATTGATTTATAACAAAATTTGAAGCATAAGTTGAAAAATAAATAATTGAACAAAAATATGTATTAAAACTTAATTTTTAATATAGTTTAATAAAATTAAGATTTAAATATTAAACTAATTTAAGGCAAAATCAGTCAACAATATATCAATAATTGTTGATT